GATGGATGATGGATGGATGATGGATGGATGATGGATGGATGATGGATGATGGATGGATGATGGATGATGGATGGATGATGGAAGGAGAAGGTCAGGTCAGGTCCATCCCTGTCTGGACACTGATTCAGCCCCAGAGGGGTCACGTGTCCCTGGTTCCACAGCCCTGACCACTCAGGTTGGAAAACTTTCAGGAGTGCTGGGAAAAGGCATTTCCAAGGGTTTCAGTATTGTTTTAAGATATTTTTTGATATTAACATTCCCAAGTCCATGGTGTCCCTTCAGAGGGGTCAAGGACTTGCTGTAGTACCTGGATCCATGACCATTCCTTGGGAATTCCTCTGATTTTGGCAATTCCTGGGGTGCAGCTCCCCGGGTGCTGTGCTGGTTTAAACCTGAACTGACCAAACCCCCCTGCTCAGCAACATCTGAGGTTCATTCAAGGACACTCTGCTGCATTGTGTTTACTGGAAAACCCAAAGAAATGTTTTAATTCCTTTAAAAAATCCCTGTTTCTGTTGCCAGGTGGATCAGCTGATGAGGAAGTGCTGGATCTTCAAACACGACGAACGCACCACCTTCCACAACCTGATCCAAGGATTTGAAACAATTATGAGTAAAATGTAATTAATTATTTTTATCCTGTCAGGACTTCAAATGCCCAGCAAACTATCTATGCCCAAGGCTACATTTTTTTTTTTTTTTTTTTTTAATTTTTTTTAAACTCCTGTAGTTTCTCCTCTGGCTGAGCTGATGTGGTTATAAAAGATTCTTTTGCCAACAGATTGAAGAGTTGGATTTTAAAAGAATTTAAAATATTTGGGCAAAATGAACTCCAGCTCCCTTTGCTGCTGTTCTTGCAGGGCAGTTTTATCCTGCTCTGATTCTGGTTGTGCCACAATTGGAATTGCCCTGATGGATGATGTGAGCTGGGAAAATCCACTGGCATTTCTCAGCTTAAACCTCAGCCACTGGATGTAAGAGGACTCAATTAATAATTTTGAAGTTGGCTGAAAAAATATCCTTCACATGCACTTAAATCCTAGTAAGAAACAAAAGAACCTATAAAATATAGGAAAGACAAAATGTTCAGCTCTTTTTAACCCACGAGGTCCCAGTCCTGAGCTCTTACAGATATTTTTTAAGAAGTGTTGAAAAGAACCATCCCCAGAAATGTGGAGGGGTGGGCACAGTTGTGCATTTCTGTGAGAGCCTCAATTTTGGGATAAAGAATTTGCTTTTCCTAACTCCACTCCCACATTCTTCCCCCTGGAGCTCAGGAATTCCTGGAGATGGAAAAGAACCCAGTCCATGCCCAGAGTCTGGAGGGGATTATCCCAAAGGAAAAAAAAAAAGGCCTGAGCACCCAGGGGTGTCCTGGGCAATGGAAACCCCTCCAACAAATTTTTTTATAAAGAACATTTTGACTCAGCCCATGAGTGGTTTAACTGGAACCTTCTGCTGCCATCATTTTTCCTACCACACCTGGAGTTGGAAAATGCTCTGAAGAGATCCTCGAGTTTTGGCAATAATAGAAAGAGGTCTATATATATATATATAAATATATATAAAAATGGTAATTATGAGCTCCAAGGAGGTCAGATTTATTTTTACAGTGTTATTGTTTCTGTATGTCACGTAGGAAGCTGAATTTAATCTGTAAGCACTTTGTTACTCTTTATACAAACAAGTCTAATAAAGAATTTTTTTTTTTCTCCATGTGCCTCCCTTTTTAATCATAAATTAAAGAGAGTTTTAAAAATGGAATTTCCATAGCAGTGGTGTTCTTTCAAAACTTTTTCCTACCTTATCTGATTAAAAGAGTGCAGAGTTGTTTTCCTCCCCAGAAAATCCACTCCAAGTAAGTACCAACAGTTTATTTTCATTGAAAAGTGTAACAAGTTGAGAAAGTTGCATATACAAACAGTTGAAACAAAATATTACAAGTGAATTCATCAATACATACAGGCAGAATCCCAGAAAAGCTCCTGGCTCCTGTTTGTGGAGCAGTTCCAGCAGCTGAGGAAATTTTTGACTGGGATTTTTTTTTTTAAGCTTTGAAAATGTGGATCCTGGTCACATCCCAAAGCTTGAAAGGCAAAGTTTAAGACTTTTAATTAAAAAAAAAAATAAAAATCGGTATTGAAAAATGGCTTCAGTGTTTTCTAGCAAAGAAAAGGGAGAAGGAGGTGGCTCCTGGCCTTGGTGAACTCAATCCAAATGGATTTGCAGCAGGATTCCAAGGAATTGGAATTCCAAAGCCTTGGAATGAGGGCTGGCTCCTCCTTTACCTGTCACTGATGGCAAAAGGAAGGATTGCTGATCTCCAAGGGCTGATGGCAGAACAGAACAACTCGAGCCAGAGCTGATAAGAAGCTAAAAATACAAAAAGTCTTTAAAAAAAAAAAAAAAAAGGAAAATACACTCAAAAGTGGGAAACCATGTGGGGTGGCCCAGAAGAGCTGTCCCACACCTGTGGAAGGACAGTGCTGCCTCACACTGGGAATGATTTCCTCCATGGAAAAGCTGTGGATTCTCAGCCTAAAAACAAAGTGATTCCACTGGCCAAGGATCAGCTCTCCAAATCCCAGGGAGTATTCCAAGGCAGCACAGGACAGCATCTCCCTTTGAGCAGGCATTGCTTGAGAACATCACTGAGGCTCTGGGAATCCATTTGGTATCACTCCATTCCAGGATTAAGAAGATACATTAAAAATTGAAAGGCTGTAAATGCAGAGCTCTTAATCCTGGAAAAAGGAAAGTTGGGAACCCCCCCCCCCACCCCCGACACATCTGGAGTTAAAAAAATACAAAATAATCACTATCAAGACTTCCTCTTTTAACTTCCTCAGGCTGAGGACCGCAGAAAGGATCAGCTTTCTTTCCTCTGGGTTTTTATTGCTTTCAGCTGGAGCTGCCCCAGCTCCCCAAGTCCCTGTGCTCTGTCCCTGAGGGGACAAAGCCACCACTGTCCCCTCCTCTCCAAGTGGCAGCAGCCACCGCCTTTGTCACACCCGTCTCGTGTCCTTGGGTGTGCCAGGACAGAGCCGGCGCCTCCTGGGACACTCAAGCCCACGCAGAAAGAATTCCTTGTCTGAAGTTAAGGCAGCAATAAATAACAGAGGGATTCCCTGGGCCGGGCTGGGAATCCATCACTCCGAGGGGTGGATCAATCCTCGAGTGGGGAGGATCAATCCACGCGTGGGATGGATCAATCCTCGAGTAGGGTGGATCAATACACCCGTGGGGATGGATCAATACACCCATGGGATGGATCAATACACCCGTGGGGATAGATCAATACACCCGTGGGGATGGATCAATACACCCATGGGATGGATCAATACACCCGTGGGGATAGATCAATACACCCGTGGGGACAGATCAATCCTCGAGTGGGGTGGATCAATACACCCGGGGGATGGATCAATACACCCGTGGGGATGGATCAATCCTCGAGTGGGGTGGATCAATACACCCGTGGGGATGGATCAATACACCCGTGGGGACAGATCAATCCTCGAGTGGGGTGGATCAATACACCCATGGGATGGATCAATACAAGCGTGGGATGGATCAATACCCGGGTGGGGATGGATCTGGGGATAGATCAATCCACCCGTGGGGGTGGATCAATCCTCGAGTGGGGAGGATCAATACACCCGTGGGGATGGATCAATACACCCGTGGGATGGATCAATCCTCGAGTGGGGTGGATCAATACACCCGTGGGGATGGATCAATACACCCGTGGGGATAGATCAATACACCCGTGGGGACAGATCAATCCTCGAGTGGGGTGGATCAATACACCCGTGGGGATGGATCAATACACCCATGGGATGGATCAATCCTCGAGTGGGGTGGATCAATACACCCGTGGGATGGATCAATACAAGCGTGGGATGGATCAATACCCGGGTGGGGATGGATCTGGGGATAGATCAATCCACCCGTGGGGATGGATCAATCCTCGAGCGGGGGTGGATCAATACACGCGCTTCTTCTTCAGCGAGGATTCCGAATAACGAGCCGGGAATTCCACGGGGCCGGGCTCGGGGGAGGACACGAGGTACGAGGAGCTGCGCTTCGGGGCCACCTGCGGGTGACACAGCACAGTGACACTCTGCCCAACGCCACCAGGGCAGTGCTCCGAGCCCCAGAGGAACGACAGAACTACAACCATTAGAATAGAAGTGTGTAACATCACATGGTGAAGGGTTTTAGGTATAGGGCAAGATGGAGGTTTTAAGGAGTTGGTTTTTCTTCCTTCTTGTCCTTCCCCTTGGGTAGAAAATGCCACACTGCAGGTCAAGGGTGATTGGTCATTGGGGTAAAAGTAAAAATAATTCAGGTGTTAGCTTTTAACTGGACTGCTTGGCTTTAAAAGACCTTGTAACCATTTCTTCATTTTAATTTGTTAGCTGCAAGTGCTGTGGCAGTCCCTGTAACATGGATAAGAATTAATAAACATCTGAGTCCTAATATGAAAATCCTGTCTGTCCTGCATTAATCCTGACTCTGGCAGAAGAGGAAAAAAGAAGATAAAAACTTAATACCACCACTGCCAATGAACAGTGCTCCAGGCTGGGAATTCCCAGTGAAGTGATGTCAAAAACCCCACTCCTTTGGCTTTGAGCCCCAGGGTTTCCCTAAAAAAAACCCCACTGTTTTTTTTTAGGACACCTGATGTGCCTGAAATGTGGGAAATAGAAAAGGTACAAGACTTTTAAAAAGCTGCATGAAAGGGAATCTCAAAAGAGAAAAATGCAAAAATACTAAAAATACAAGAACAAGAAACAGTAAGGCTATAAGCTATGTAAAGATAAGCCTCAAGAAAATATGTTAAACAAAATAATAAAGTATGTCAACTTAATAATGAAGCTTTAGCCACTGTTTTAAGCTATTACAATGCTTGTTTACAAGCATTCTTCAAAGCAAGATTAATTGGCCTGAGCAAATGCCTGTCAGCTTTTAATATTATACTATTGACTAAAAAGTTGTTAAAAGACTTTGTAACAAAAAAAAAACCAACTTTGCTGTTATTAGCAGCTAAAACTGTTTCCATCTCCTGTGCTTAACTCTGTAAAATAAAATTAATAATTATAATGAAATAAAGCTTCAAAACAAGTGCTCCAACAATCCTGTCCCGTTGTTTGTGTTTATATGTAGGTAAATATAAAATAAATTAAAATATCCCAAAAAACCAACAAGGAAAGACTTTAAATCTCTTTAAGCCTTTCCAACCAGGAAAGACTTTTAAGTTCTGGCCCTGTCGTCTCTCTCCTGCAGTTTTGAGAGCCCTGGGGTTGTCACCCATGTCCTGTGTCCCTCCACCAGCTCCTGCCTCACACAAACCCCCTGACCCTGCTCCTCCTGAGCCTCTGTAACAGCAGGATTTTAAAAAGCCCCAAAAAAAGCCTCCAAAAAAAGGATTCCAAGGAGCTGCAGGGTCCCTGCAAGCACAGGCACACAAGCACACCCTGAGCTGACAGAGCAGCCTCTCCACTCCCATTTAGCTGCAGTTGCAGCAGCCTGGAGGCCAAGTGAGCTGCTGTGCCTGTGCCAAGGGACTGAGTGTGCTCCTCCTGCCTTTTATGGCTCCTGGCATGAACAGCAACATCCCAGGGAGCTGCTCTGCACCATCCCAGAACCTCTCTGGACATAAACTGAGAGGTGCTGCTCAGCTCAAACCCCACCCTCTCTCTCCTTCTGTTGCCATTCCATCATTTCCAGCCATGTCAGAGCTGGTGGGAATCTGAAAACTCAGGTTTTTTTTCATGTCCCAGCCCATGGCCAGGCTTTGTACCCAGGAGTCAGGAATTAAAAGGAATGCACTGTCTCCAAAATCTCAAAAAAAAAAAAAAAAAAAATTTCATGCCCAGTCTAAAACAGAATTTAATCCTGTGGTGCAAGGGCCAGGCCCCTCAGCTCTGCCATCCATAAAAACAGGAGCAATGGGATTTACCTCAGCACAGGGACAGGAATTCCTCAGCAGTTCTAAATCCTAACCAGACTCCATAAATTGGCCCTCACTGTTTCCAAAGCATTTGGAAATGTTTCCATTTATTGATGAAAACTCAGTGTCCACTGGAGCCCCAGCACAGGAAGCTTTGCTCAGTGAGTGTGGCTGAAGAAGGCTGCAGTTGACACCTGGTGGAATTCCAAATAAAAGCCATTTTATCCCCCACGATCCAGTGTTGGTAATCTGGATGATGCCCAAGACCAGGTAACCCTGCAGATGCTCCAAGAACTGTTTTAGAAACACACTCCAAAAAAAAAAAAAAAACAAACCCTGTGTATTTTCCTAATTAGGCAAGTAAAAATCTTTAGATTTATCCCGTGTTTTTTAATTTGCTTTTCAGGAAATTTTGAGCTGCTCTCTCTACTCCAGAGATTCTATCCCAGTGCAAACCATCTGCAAGTCAGACAAACACCCATTTAAATCCAGTGTGAATCTCCTCCTCTTTTCCTACTTTATTTGCCTCCTTCCAGGCATTTTTTCACACTGCTATCTCTCCAAGAAGCTCCTAAAACCCCAGCCTTCCTCTGCCCGTGGGTTTTGGGGCACTGAGAGGAGCTGATCCCCAGAGCTTGCAGGGTTCTGGAGCTGGCCCAAGCTCTCCTGACATTCCCAGGAATTGTGTGCAGGAGGGATGCACAGGGAAAGCTCCACTCGGGGGCAGCAGCACACAGGGAAGAGGAATCTGCAGCCACTGCTCTTCCTCTCCTCTCTCCTCTTCCTCTCCTCTCACCTGCTTTAAGGGATTTGCTGGGGGAGGCTGCAAGCCCTGCTGGGATCCCTGGGCTCCACTCAAAAGGGCAGGCACCACCTGCAGGCAGGTGCTGTAGTCTGGGAAAGATCCACCTGTAAATTCCTGAATCCACAACGGGATCCATGAAGTAGAAGGAAGAAAGGTTTAATAATTCTCCTTTTTTTTTTTTTTTTTTTTTTTTCTCTCAGCAGGTATGGAAATACCTGAGTATTAAATTCACAGCAGCTCGGGTGTGCAGCAATTCCCGGAGTAAAATGTGGGATTTGGAGGATGGTTTAATTTGTGTCATTCCTTTAAAAAGTGGCTTTCTCCTTTGTCACAAAAACCTCAGTTTGGGCAAGAAACAGCCCTTCCATGCTGGGAAATGCCATTAACGGTGTGCTGCTTCTTGGTGGGAATATTTTAATCCATTCCTGAGTGTTCCAGGTGATTTTGGATGGTGGGATTTTAGAGAGGGATGTTTTGGCTGTGACCCCAGGGGGGTGCAGGGCTGCCCTGCAGCAGTGCCCATGCAGTGCCTTCACCCCACACTCTCCAGCCCCTCATTTCTGTGCCAACACACAAAGCAAGTGTCCTAAAGCTGATGGGAGCAACAGCCAGTGGAGACAGCAAGAAAATGAAATTATTTCTCACCTCAGAGGCTCCATTTTCCAAGCCATCCACTCTGGCCTGGGTAGAGTGATGTGCCTGAGCATAATGCTGGTACCACTGCTGGGCAGCCTCCTACAGAGGAGCAGAAATCCTCTCCCATGTCTGCCTACAATTCTTACAACCCAAAGCTCTCCAAGAAACTTCAAAATACCTTTAGCACCAGTGGTGAAGCTCAAATCAAACATTTAAAGTAATGGTAATGATTAAAACATTCAAGAGGAACTCCTGGCCTGGCAGTAAGGCAGGGACAATTCCTGTTATGGGAACAGCTCCAGGGATCCAGGGACAGCCACAGCTTCTCTGAGCACCCCCACCCTGCCAGGGAACAATTCCTTCCCAATATCCCATCCATCCCTGCCCTCTGGCAGTGGGATCCATTCCCTGTGTCCTGTCCCTCCCTGCCCTGTCCCCAGTCCCTCTGCAGCTCTCCTGGAGCCCCTTCAGGCACCAGATCTGATCCAAGAGGGGTTTGGCCCCTGGCAAAGCTCAGTGCAGTGACCCTGTGGCCAGGCTGGGAGCCTCCCAATCCAAACCCTCTCCATGCTCAGGGGTCACAATGTCCCTGCCAGCAGCCCAGGAGAGTCTCTGTCTCCTCTGGGGAGGAGGCAGCTCTCAGATTTGATCTGTACAGTTCCAGGGATGGTTAATGAAAACCTGGGAATGTTCCCTGCCAGTGTCCTGTGGAAGTGGCTCTGAGCACTGCAGCACTCCCCAAACCCTGCAGCTCATGGCCATGCTCTGATCACCACGTGGGGCAGATGGGGAGCACATCCTGTGCACTGAGAGCAGCTGCCAAGCATCCCCCAAGCTGTGCAGGAACTGGGAGGCTGAGCTCTCTCCTCTGGGATCCAGCCAAAGTTCAAGACTTAAAAACTTCTGGGGAAGGCAAAGAAAAAAAGCCCCTGGTTTTGAAGGCAGACACAAAAGCCAAGGCAGGGGTGCTGAGAAGTCATTTTTTAGTGAGTGTCTGGAGCTCAGGCTCTCAAGAATCAAATTTTTTTCAAGGGTTGTGATTTCAGCAGGGACTGTCCTTTGTGCTAAATCTGCTCTGAACACTGAAAGAGATAAAAGTGTCCCTTGAGGAAGAACACCCAGAGAAAACAAGGAGCAGCTCTGGGAGAATCCAGGGGAGGACACCAGGCTGTGCAATTCCTACCTGTGGGTATTCCCCAGGCTGCTGGGAATAACTGAAATAATTTTCCATTGCATGTTGTGATGCAGTTCCCTGAGCCACAGCAGCATCCAGGACATTGTTTGGAAGGCTGGTCTGCTGTGGAGGACTGGAGGCTTTGCTGGCAATTGCTGCTGGGAACACAAAGAACAGAGTTTGAATAAACACCTGGCTTGTAGAAAACACACAAATTAGGTTCTGGTTCCAGGATTAAAATTGAAATTTTCCTTTTCACATTAAGCTGTGCCCCAAATTAATCAGTGCTATTAATAACTGAAAGGCTTCTAGAAGTTTATGAGCCTCTGAAAATTGAACCCTGTTTAATTACTTTGCAATTTTAAGACACACTATATGATTTCCTTGAGGACAAATGGTCACTAGATTTACCAGGCAAACAGGATGAATATTTGCCATGCTCTGGCTGTGGAAATTTGCAATAAAATGTTTGCTTACCTGGCAGGCAGATACCAGGCAAAACACTTGCCAAATTCAAGTAGGGGTTGGTGCTCAGCCGAATTTCCTTTGGGGGCTCCCCAAGCAGAGAAGTCTGTTTTTTCAAGGGAGTCTGAAAAATGGACAGGACAATCTGCATTAAATTCATATAAAATTGATCAGAAATAAGGTTAAGTGGCCCAGCAGGAGCACTTTTTTTTTTTTTTTTTTGGAAAAAGCTCAGTCCTATGAAAAAAACTCTTAAAACGCAACTTTTGAAATAAAAAACTTTTTGAAGTCAATCCTTCAAAAGTTCCATTTTATTTCAGCAATCTGGACACATTCCCTGCAATTTTTTCTTCCAAATAGTTTTTGTAGGAATGTTTCTCTTCAGATTGCAAGTTCCTAAAGGATATTACAAAACAAACAAACAAAAGAAAACCTTTTATATGCAAGTGAAAGAATAATAATCACTCGAGCAATTCCAGATGCAGGGAGTGAACATTAAGTACATGGCCAAGACAAAAATCAACTCTTTTTACTTGGAGAAATAAGGAAATAAAGGCCAAATGTTAGGAAAATGATGAATTAAGCACATGGCTCCCCAAAAATGTCTAAGTATTGATGCATTTATAAAAAACGTAAATTTTGTTAAGGGAAGAAAAAAAAAATCTGAAATAATGAGGCCACTTAAATGCCATCATCCTCTCACACCTCATCTCCAAGGGAATAAATATATTTTAAAAAACCTGATAATTAAAAGTGGAAAATTTATATACACACACAAGCAACTGGAAACCCAAAGGCTCCCCACCACCACCAGAACTGCTCCTGATTAATCATAAAATTCAACCCCAAGTTCAATTTTTGGCCATTAGAAGAGACACTGCCCCTGAGATAAATTTCACCATCAAACACTGAGGCAAACACATGGAAAAAAGGCCCTGCAGCACCGTGGAGCTGCCTTTGTTCATTCAGCTGGACCACCAAGGAGCAGCATTGTTCTCTCCCCATTACCCACAACTGCAGTGACCTTTGCATGGCTGAGGATGCTCCTGGGATGGAGCAAATTGTACAGTGGAGATGCAGGCGTGGTTAAAATAAAGGAGAGAAAGAGGAGGAGGAGAAAAGGAGGAGGGAAAAAGAGAAGAGAAGAGAAGAGAAGAGAAGAGAAGAGAAGAGAAGAGAAGAGAAGAGAAGAGAAGAGAAGAGAAGAGAAGAGAGGAGAGGAGAGCAAAAAGAGTGAAGAGAGAAAAGGAGAGAGAAAAGGAGAGAGAAAAGGAGAGAGAAGAGAGAAGAGAGAAAAGAAGAGAGAAAAGGAGAGAGAAAAGGAGGGAGAAAAGGAGGGAGAAGAGAGAAAAGAAAAGAAGAGAGAAGAGAAAAGAGGAAGAAAGAGAGGAAAAAGAGGAAGAAGAGAGAGAGGAAGAAGAGGAAGAAGAGGAAGAAGACAAAAGAGAAAGAAAGAAGAGAAAGAAGAGAAAAAGGAAGAAGGAAAGAAAGAAGACAAAAGAATAGAAAGAAAGAAAGAAGACACAAGAAGAGAGCAGCAGGCAGAAGGCAGTGCCTGTGCTGCAGGCTCCTTACCCCCAGGCTGGAGTCGCAGTTCTTGCTGTGCCCGGGGGCTTTGGCGTGCTGGGCCCGCAGGGAGCCGCCGGGGAGGCCGGGCAGCGGCGGAGGGAAGGGCTGAGCTGCCGGCACGGCCTCGCCTTTGTCTGCAGCAGCGCCGGGGCCGCCCAGAGCCTGTCCAAGAGCGGGCTGGGTCGGGAAGAAGGGCAGCACGCCCATCCCTGCTGCTGCAATGGGAGCTGCGTTACGAGCTGCACTCATGGAGAAAACTTTGCTGTTAACACGGCATTGCTTACACAGGGCTCGGCTGGGGGGTTAATGAGGGAGGAGGAGAACAATTCTATTTCTGCTTCACTGCTTTTTGGTCTTTTCCCATCACAAAGGCAAGTAACTCAATCTTAAGCTGATTCAATAAAATTTTGACTTTTCTAAACATTCCCTGTGGTAACTTACTTAGTGCTTCCTGTCATTTTTAAAAAAACCTGGGAACAACATCCTGGAGGATGCTGGATGGGAACACAGGGGGAAACCCCACCTCAACTGGCATTAGGGGAATTCTTTTAACTGAAAAGCTGGAAAGTGTTCTCCTAAATGAAAATTTGGATATTCAGAGGAGCTTTCTGCCCTCCCCTGGATATTTTTCCTTTGTTCCTGGTTATTGCCATGACTCAGAGCATGGCCAGGGCTGCAGAACACAGGGAGCAGTGGAGGAAACAAGATCAGAAAATCCTGGAATGGTTTGGGTTGGGAGGGACTTGAAGGATCATCCATTCCCATCCCCTGCCATGGCAGGAACACCTTCCAGTACCCCAGAGTGCTCCAACCTGGCCTTGGACATTGCCAGGGATCCAGGGACAGCCCCTGGGAATTCTATTCCAGGAATTCCTCCCCAATATCCCATCTAAATCCATCTTTTTTCAACTCACAGCCATTCCCTGTGTGCTGTCCCTCCCTGCCTTGTCCCCAGTCCCTCCCCAGCTCTCCTGGAGCCCCTTCAGGCCCTGCCAGGGGCTCTGAGCTCTCCCTGGATCCTTCTCCTCTCCAGGTGAGCACCCCCAGCATCCAACTGATCTTCCCTCATAAATACTGAGGGCATCAGTGGCACAGAAATTTGCATTCCAAATTGACACCTGTCACAGACTGGTTATTAAAAACAAATTTCATAATAAAACGAAGGCAAAGAGCAAATTTGAAGGCAAATTTGTGGTGCCTCTTAAGCAACTGACATTTACCTGCTTTGAAAAACCCCACAAAATGTCACCCCCAGATAAAACCACGTTCCAAGTGCACCAAAAAAAAAAAATGGCAGTAACTGAGCCAGCAGAGTATTTAACAACCTGCTTTTGTTACACAGGGACAAAGTCAGGTGCATAACGTGAAGCTGGGCTTTTTTACTGATTTGGGATGAAATGAAAATGTCATTTACACTTGAGAGCTTCTCCTCGAGTTGCCAGGCCTGAGCTCACTGCTGGCATCACCCCTATGCCCAGCACTGTCTGCAGCAGCATTGTTGGAGGTTCTCCCAGCAAACCTGGTTTCTAAAAGGAAGAAGAGAAAACTGTGTAAACGATTCAAATAATCTGCTCACAGCTCCTTTTTTTTTACAACTTCCACATTCTCAACCTTTTCAGCACCACTCAACCGTTCACAGAACCATGAATAGGTTGGGTTGGGAGGGAACTTAAAGATCATGGGAGGTGGTGATAACAATTTATTTATTTTAGGAATTATAGGAGTGTTGAGAGAGAGTCAGAGTTGCAGGGATGGCCTTACACTGTTTGCCTGCATGTTTTCCATCTTCAGGAGCTGCTGCTGGGGCAGGGGCAGGTGAGCAGGGTTCTGCAGCAGCAGGCTGGAGGTGCTCCCCAGAACTGAGCTCTGAGAAAGGATTAAAACAAGGCTTAGTTGGCAGGCTTAGAACATTTTCACACAGCACTGCTTGAAGAAATTAAAGATTCTCAGTTAGGACAGCAAAGGAAAAGAATAATTTCCTTCACAGAATTGATTTTATTTCAGATAAATAACCAGATATGTTCCCCTCCATAAAAATCCACATGAAATCCTACTCCAGAGCCATTAAAACCTGACAAATCACAGTGCCTGCAGATTGGCAAGTCCATAAAATATTCACATTGTTCATTCAAAATATTCTGCATCAGTTTGCCACCAGGACTGAGCCACTGAATTAATAACTTTGGGGCACCCTCTTCAGACTCTGCCACTGGTATATTCAACATTATGAGCTCTGGCCAGCACTGAGGCTTAAAATAAACTTTAAAAGATATCATGATTTATGCTGCAGGCCTGGAAGTGTCTGGCAACATCATCTGCCAGTAAAATATAGGTTGTTCTATAGCTTGTTGGACAAAAATAAATGTACAGGACACTGTGATCATGCCAAGTCCACTCTTCTTTATTGTTTTTTCATCACCAAACCCAGGGGTTGAAGACTGCAAAACACCATCCAAATATTTCCAAGTCTGGAAATGTCTCTGGGTGGCAGGGTTAAATTCTCTAGGGAAAAACTAAAATATGATCTTCTGAACTAATCTATGATCTTCTGGAGTCAGAAATGTGCTTTTCCAAACAAGGATGTGCCATATCTAGATTAGTTATGCATTTATTTTAATTGTCTCAGTGATTTACAGGGCTAGTTATTGTCACCAGTGCCAGGGGCTGCTCCTGCTAAACTTGGCTCCAGTCACAAAATCAAAATGGTTCATTGCAAAACTTTCAGAAATAAAAGAGTGGAAAAATCAGTTTGGTCAGAATCTTCAGAGGAAAGGCTCTGGATTAACCAAGATTTAATAAATGAGGAAAACATCCCTGAGAAAGCTGAAAATGCATTATTTTGCCACAGAATAATTTATAACTCAGAGAAATTAAGAGAAACAAGTTGAAAATCAGACAACCTCGAGCTGAAAAATTACTGGGTGAATAACCTTCAAATCCTCTCTGTTGGATCCTTTTTAAAGAATTATTTTAAAATATTTATTCACATTCTGTCACTTTACAAAGCCCTGGATATAAAATAAAAACCCAAGAAATGCAGGCAGCTAAATCAGCATGACTGGGAAGTGTTTCAGTGACAACACTGAATTTCAAGACAATAAAAATAAAACAGTGAGCTGCTTCTCTGACTTTAGAGAATATCCCAGAAGAGAAAAATGTGACTTCTAGGAGAAATTTGGATCATCAAATCCTTCTAAAATTCAGATTTGGAGCTCATTAAATGACAGGAAGCTTCCAGGAAGAAAATGAGACAATTTTAAGTCTCTGGACAGAGAAAAGATGGAGTTGTTTGGCTGCAGTTTTTCCCAAGCCAAAAACCACTGGAAAAAAAAACCTTTGGATCATCATCAATCCCACTGTTAATTGTGAAAAACATCCCTGGCTCCAGCTGTGAGCACCAAACACTCACACTGCCTTCCAAGGAAGCACAGGCTGAAGAGAGAGCAGCAGGAACTTAAAACAGATCAACTGAAAATGTCATTTGAATTAAAAAAAAAAAAAAAAAAAGCCCTAAGAATTATGTATTTTTTTTTAATAGGGGCAAAATTAAGCAGCGTTTATTCTAAATTAAAATATTCACCCAGCAGTTTTTAGAGAAAAAACCAGAAAAGCTCAATATACATAAGAAATATTTCTGCATTTTAGTGGCTCTTTTTTAAGATCTCTAAAAGAAGTTTGCCAAAAAGAACTGCAGAAATAATTGATGCTGAAGAGGATTTTATTTTTTAAATGGAAATTTCTGAAATATCAGAAATAATAAGGCAAAGTGATCGACTCCAGCCCCTTGTAGGTATTTGTGTAAATCCCTACCACGAATATTAAATTTAATTTTTGGTTCCTGGCAGAACTGGAGAAATCCCTGAGAGCAGCTCAGCTCAGCTTTTGGCTGTGGGTGCATTTTCTCATTCTCAATTTCTGGCACAAACTCATCCCAAAGATCCTTTCCATGATCTCTCAGGAATTCTGGTGCCCATTTGGAATTTCAGAAGAACCTTGAGGGGTTTCATGAGAAAGAATTAACTCTGCAAATCTCTATTTTTTATGGCACATTTGGGTCCCTGCAAGCTTGAAAATGAAGCTGAGGGTGCTGAATTTGTCGGTTTTTATCAAATAAAAATCTCTACAGGATTGTGGCTGAGCTGCTCCAAGGGATGTGCCAGGCTCCTTGAGAACTCATTTAAAGAGGATTTTTTTTTTTTTCTGCCAGTAATGACAAGTTTTGTCTGCATTGGCAAGTTTTAAATCAAAAATTTAGATAAAATAATTCCATTTTGGACAGTTAGCACTGCCTATCTCAACACTTTCCTTAGAGCTCTAACAAGAACACTTAATTTTAGTTGTAATTCCTTAAAACTTTAGGATCTCTCATTTAA